TAATCATTTAATCGCGAAGCTGGCTCGGACTACACCTGCTTGAGTTTAAACTATTGGCAAGAAGAAATTCTGAAGACAGGGACTCTTATCCAAAATAGCAAAATCTAGTAACGGGGCCTACAAAAGACAGAGCAATCTCTGACTTAACAAAACTCAAACCCTCACTCTAATACATGCGAGCTAATTTTCATTTGGCGTAAAAACGGAAAGAGGGAAGTATCAGTAAAGTTTCCAAACATAAAATAACTATTCCCTAAATCAAATAAATGCAATAATTCTATAATAAATTTTTCATAATAAAGTTCTCATAACTGTTCACGATCCACTGGTTTGCAAGCTTCAGTCTATAACAATTGTTCCAAATATGAAACTGGAATTTTAAATTAATGATTGCTATGATTACATATTTCTTAAAAAATTCATAAATTCTTCATAAATAATTTTTAGCATTTTTCTGAATAGAAGCTGTCCCTAAATATCAATGCAAGCTTCAATGGCATGTAGGGCACATTAAAAGGACTGAGAACTGCATAGCAATCCAATGCTATAAACGTCATAAAAAGTGGTATCAGAGGTGAAGAAGTGTAGACAACACAAGACATAGTTTATTAGATGTATTTATTGCTAGGAAATATTACATAATATTGTATTAGATGATGTCATTTGAAAATGTTACAAAATATGTTCCTACTATTACAAGTGATACATGCATTACATCTTTGGGCCACGGACTGGCGGACACAGTCAATACTTGGGTTTATTTGTTACGGCAGCGCAGACGCTTCTCCCTCACATATCCAATTTAGACTCAAAACTTTAAGTGCCCCCTCAAAGAAAGAAATTCAGAATGCTCAATTCTGAAGAGCGTAGAGGACAAGGAACCAGACCAGCATGCTTAACCCATCATTTACCAAACTATACACTCAAACGGAACACATTTTCCATAATGGAGAGGTATCTCATCATGTTGAAAGCACATGTTGCATCTCACGTTTTATAGCACAGGGTACAGTAAGCTTGACGGAACTTGCTCCAAAATGATGAGATAATTTGCTGATGACATAGATGATGGAAACGTGTACGGCCCTAAATAAACAGTCGTCGATTAAACTAGTTCAAATATTGTGACCAGCCCTCCTGAGCAGCACCACCTAACGGCGCACGATGGCATTTGCGATGATGAGTCGCTAATCAATCCTCAATCCTTTTGACGTGCTCTACTTGTCCTTAACGTTTGTACCAGTACTTATGAGACGCCCTGTATATTAATAATGAATTAGTGGTAATTTATTTAGCTTTTATTCTGTTATCAAAACATTTCTAAAAATTATTTTACCGATTTTGTAAAATAAACTATAAAACAGGGTCTTTTATATTTACTATACTGAAACGTCGTACAGCTTTTATTCCTATTATTATAGAAAATATAAAATCTTAAAACATTGTTTACTCTAAGTTATTGTAGTGCCTTTAAGTATTCAACGAAGCTATTATTTAATTTTAAAAAAATGCTGCATTCTCACTTTGTATGTTTAAAAACGTTTTGTACGCTAAATATGTGAATAAAAACACTTAAAAGGTGCGCCATTATTCTAAAGCGATTAAGATAAACTAGTTTTGCATCATCGTTACAAAAGTGGAAGAAAAACAGTTACTGCTTTCTTTAAAGCAAATATCCTATAAAAGATTCTTCTCCCATCATAAACTACTTTGCTTAAAAGAAATACTTTCTATGCCTTAAGAATAAAGATGGACGATGAGTAAATAAGATGCTTTTTTTAACTGAAGCCTATGTTCGAACTAAAAATCTATTTAACTGAAATTTATTCCGTCCGTAATGATAAGGCGATTTAAGTTATTTTTAAACATCATCAGTTTGTCAAATGAATTTTTTAATCTACTCTGATTAAATATATTTTACAGCCAGAAAATGAGACTAGATTTGAAATTTGCATACACAGTAGCTTATTAAGAATAAGTTCAGAAAAACAAAGGTAAGTGGATTGTATTATCACTTATTTATTTTATATAACACTTTGAAATAGAAGGAATGCCGTTCACGTGACAACACAGCACACATCACTCAAAGCACTTTAGCAATAATAATAAAAATTAGAACACATAACTCACATAATTTTGAAAGTACGTTACCATAGCAGCCGTAATTGAATCATCAGCCAGTAGCGCCATCTATTGTTGCAAAAACACACTAGTAATTCGTTTAGTAGCAAAAAATACTAAACATAGCCTTCGGCCTTGAAGCTTTCTAAGAGTTCAAAAAAAGACAAAAAGTTATAGAACACATAATAACATTAACAAAAAATTAATTGAAAATATAACTAAAATTAAAGTTCAATAATAGGAAAGTTCAATAGAATAAGAGTTCAATAGTTTATACGTAGTTCATATTAGTCATGATTGGGGATAAGACATAATTCAGTAATAGCTCCTTTGAAATCACCAGCGGCTGTATGGATTGTAGCCACTTGAACTATCTTGTCACAGCCTGGATGAATTAAGGCAATTGTCCGAATTTTTTATTGGTTTGGAGGCAGTTGTTCGTTTTTATCAGAAATAAGTCATCATATTTTAGATTTGGAGACGCACGAAACCACTTAACACGTTGTTGAAGGGTTGTTATATATTCTGCACACATCGTTTCAAAAATGTTGCACAGTCTGTTGAACTAGAGACCAACGTTTAAGTCTTGAAGATTTAACATCACTCAAGTCAGATTCAGGAATGGCAAGCAAAGGGGCTCCAATCAGAAAATGACCTGGAGTCAATGCACTAAAGTCGTTTGGATCACTAGACATCGGACATAGAGGACGGGAATTCATACACGCTTCCACTTGTGTAAGCACTGTTAAAAATTCCTCGTAAACTAGAAATGTTGGTCCTAATACTCGTTTAAGATGAAATTTCATGAATTTCACATATTAAATTCCCACAAGTCACCGAAGTGAGGAGATGACGGAGGATTAAATAACCAAGTTATACCTTCTGAGGTAATGTAGTGAGTTACATACTTCACTGCTTTTCTCAATGTGAGCTGCATTTTTATAAATCTCTTTCAGTTCCTTAGTAGCACCTTTGAAGTTCCTTAGTAGCACCTTTTCCTTAGTAGCACAGTCACTCGAAATTTCAGATGGTTTGCCTCGTTGGGTGATAAATCTTTTTAGAGCTGCTAAAGACGTTGAAGTTGATAGATCACTGACTAACTCCAAAGTGTACAGCTTTTGTTGAGAAACACACACAAAAATGGATACGTAACACTTGAAAGTTTTTGTTCTTCTCCCAACTTGGGACTTAATAGAATATGGACCAGCATAATCAACACCGGTGACTGCAAAAGGTCTTGATGGTTGAACTCTGGGCGAGGGTAAATCACCCATTATCTGGGTCACAGTCTTGCCTCGATTTCTAATACAAGGAATACATCTGTGAATAATCTTTCTCACTACGCTTCTCACCGAAAGAATCCAAAACTGCATTCGTAAAAAGTGCTTATTAATAACTCTTGACTAGCATGCAAATAATTGACATGGTAATGAGTTACGATGAGATTAGTGACATGTCCTTCCTTTGGAAGCAAAATAGGATGTTTGCTATTTTCAGGAATGTTTGCATTTTTTAAGCGACCACCTACTCGAATGACGCCTTCTTCATCAAGGAAGGGAGTTAATTGTATTACTCGGCTGCTCACACCTTTTAATTCTCTCGATGTTTTTAAATAAGAGAGCTCTTGAGGAAAATATGATTCTTGGACATTTTTTATCACTGTTTTTGTAGCTAATCGAAGCTCATCGGTTGTCAGAAAACCTCTCAAACGATTTTCGGAGAAGTTTCGACAGTTGTAAATGAATCTTAGGCATAAAGCAACTATACGACGTAATTTTGTCCAAGATGAATACCGTTTAAAAATGACATTTTTCTTTACTGTACAAGATACTGAAATGCACGTTTTCTCTCTTTTCTACGAAATCCTTCAAAATCTACATCAGCACAAACATGTTCACTGTCAGGACATGGTTCCAAAATCTTGTGAATATAACCAAGTAGGTCCAATGAACCATCGTTCACACTTCAGAAATTCTGCTGGAAACATTCCTCTTGTACCTGAATCAGCTGGGTTCCGCTTTCCGCTTTCCATTGATATGGTTCCACCTTACATTAGGAATTGTATTCTGTATTTTAGCAACGCGGTTTGCAACAAAGGGAACCCAACGGTATGGTTCTGCAGAAATCCAGGACAGTACAACAGTTGAATCTGTCCAGGCCAAAACTTTACGTATAGGAAACTCTAAATGTTCTAACACTGATTTAAGCAAATTCACTAACAAAACTGCGGCGCATAACTCTAATCGAGGTAATGATTGCACTTTCAGAGGGGCAACTCTTGTTTTTTGATGTTAAGAGTGTTACTTTGATGTCCAAATTACGTGACACTGAACGCAAATAAATTGCTGCACAGTAGCCTTTCTCGGAGGCATCACAAAAAGCACAGATATCAATATAGTTTCACGTCAGGAATCAAAACAAATCTCGGTATTTTTAATTGTTGAATAAGATGTAAATCATTTCGGAAAAGTCTTCCATTTGTTAGCAATCTCATCACTAACAGGTTCATCCCACGAAAAATGGAGTTTCCACATGTCTTGTATCAAGATTTTGACACATAAATAATACAAGGAGCAAGCCAACCCAATGGGTCAAATATTTTCGCTAAATCAGAAAGGATATCTCTTTTGTATGTAAACGTTTCTCCAGGAAATAGACACGTAAAAGTTAAAGTAGTCTTCACGGGGGATACAATTAATTTCTAAAACTTTGATTGAGCTATCGTCTTGATTTTTTATAGCCTCGGAATCATTTCTCAACTCCTTGGGTATATTCTCTAACACTGAGAAGTCATTGGATGACCATTTACGCAGAAGAAATCCTCCGCGTTCTAACTTTTGCAAGAGTTGATGTACTAGATTTTTGCACTCTTCAGTGTTTTAAGCACATACCAAACAGTCACCTACAAAATGTTTTGAAGTACGGCCTCCGAAGCTAAAGGATAGACTGAAATTGATCAAAACTGGAAACAGCTCTTGTATTCCAGGACCTGTCATCAATATGTCATTAAGAGATAGTCCTGATGAAGACTTACTAGTAGCATTAAATACCACACATCCTTTGCTTGTAGAGCTAGATTCCTTAATTATTGCATGATGTGGCATGAAATATGTCTGACTTGGGAACTCTGAACTATGAACTGGTTCCATGTGCCCGAGATCCAAGTATTCCTTCATGAAATGTTTATACATATCATATGTATCAGGAGATCTTAAGAGATTTCTCTCTAAAGATTTAAATCTTTGTAAAGCAAGATCTTTAGAATTACCCAACCTTGAAGGGTTATCTTTAAATGGAAGTTTCACTACATAACGACCATTTTGATCACGGAAGTGTGTTGTTTTAAAGAACTCTTCACATTTTTTATCTTCACTTGAAATACGTTTGACTTCCGGAATGGAGTCTAAAGACCAAAATCTTTCAACTAATTCGTTTGTATTCAACTGAAGATTATTCACTGTAAAAGTGTTAGTTAGATCTCGAATCATCAGTAATAGTGTTCCCGGAAATGATCCAACCCAACTGAGAACAAATTGCAAAGGGTAATGATTCTCCTCTCTTTATGATGTCTCCCTTAAGCATAGTAAAAAATACATTTACACCTAACAAAATATCTATTGGTTTTCTTTCATAGAACTTAGGATCAGCTAAGACTAGATCGTCAAAATGATTCGCAATTTTAGAAGGAAGCGACACGTTAGGCACATCTGAAGTTATCCTTGGAATCACGAATGCATATGTTCGAAATTTGGAATTTGACTCAAAGTGCGGGGTAAAGATTAATTCCACTTCTCCACTTGTTACAGTGTTGAACGAACCAAGGCACGATACTTCAATTTTTTTGTTAAATCTACCTAACTTTAGTTTTCTGACACACTCTTCACTTATAAAGCTGGCTTCACTGCCACAGTCTAGTAAAGCCCTGCAAGGGATGGCTTTACCATTGGAATCACTAACTTTAATGAGAGCAGTACACAGTAATACACGTTTTGATTCACCTTTAGAATAACTAAATTGTCCTGTACATGTTGTGGCATTTGTAACGACTTCATTCTTTGGTAAGAACACTTCTTCGCTGCAAGAATACTTCGACACTGGGGGAGAGTGAGGACGTTTGTTTTGGTTTCTCATTTTCACTAGTTTTGATATTTCGATCAAAATGAAGAACAGTATGATGAGGTAACTTACACGTCATACATTTATGTAAACTACGACAGTTTTTCACTAAATGAGGCTGAGAAGATAAACAATTAAAACAAAGTTTGTGTTTCTTAACAAATTCGATTCTTTTTTGGACACTTAAGTTTAAAAACTTACCACATTTGTGAAGAGAATGATCTTCCTTGCACATTATACAACTGTTTTTACTCGACACTAAAGAAGTTAATTTGGAATTAGAAAATTTCCTAAAATCTTTAGATTGGTTTCTACTATTCTGAAGGGTTCTAGCGTGGTCTTTTAGAAACTCGAGTAAATTATCTAAAGTACCTAATTCATCTTTTTTCAAAGTTCTTTCCCACCAAAATTTTATGTTTTTATCTAATTTCTCAGTTATCAGATAAACAAAAAGAACATCAGAAAGATCAGAAACTTCTAGCTTAAGAGTTCTCAAAGAGCGTACACATTCATTCACTACATCAACACAATGTAAAATAGCTTGAGCTGAATCAGAAACATTTGGCAAATTAAACATTTTACGGATTAATGCATTAGTTAATTTCTCTTTTATTAGAATAACGTTCCTGTAAAAGTTGCAACGCTATATCATAATTAGCATCAGAAATAGGAATTGACTCAATAATAGACAGAGCCTTTTTTTTACAAGAAGCCTTTAAATATTGAAACTTCTGACATTTAGAAATATTCGGATTGTTATCTACACTAGCCTTAAAAGATCATAGAAACTAATCCACTCTTCTATATTTTCCCTGTAAAGGTAGAAAGTTCTAATTTTGGTAATCGAACGTCAGACGAATTTACTTTTGCTACACTACTTGTTTCGATAACAGAGTCACTGGAAAGTTTCTGTAACTTTTTATTTATAGCTTTTTATTTCCATAATTCATCTAAAGTTTCTTGTATTGTTTGTTGTTCCGTAATGAATGTATCACAATCTTTTTCAGGACACAACAAAAATGTTTCATCATAAATAGAACGAATGTTGCATAAATTCTAGAAAATATTGTTAAGAATTTTATTATTACTATTTTTATTATTATTGTCTGTTTTTGAAAGGTATGTTTTGTTTTATTATTGTGTCAAGTTTGTAACCATATTTCTTTTCTTGTGTGGCAACAACGCTTCTGTAATTCTTCAATTTGTACTTTTGTATGTGTGCCAAGTTTGATGGGCGTAATGCTCTGTGAGAGCGTCGATTGATTGTGTAGATGAAACATGTTGTTTCAGAACGTTATTTCTTAAAAGTATGTAAAATAAATGTTTTGTTTTCTGAACTCGGATTATGCAAACGTTATTTAGTTTCAACATAAAAGTTTGGCGTCCGTTTGACAGGACGTTTGTGTGATTTCGAGTAGTTTTGATTTAGGCGTTTTGTTAAAATGGAGTTGTTAAAGGCAAAACGTAAAAGTGAACGTACTTCGTTTACGTTAACTACGAAGATTGTGGAAGAAGAATTGCCTACTTGTACGGATCCATGAGAGATTGCAAGTGTTGTTGGGGCAACTAATTGACAAATTTGAACGCCTGGACAGTACTCAAAGCAGTGTTTTAGAACAAACCAAGGAAGCTGATTTTGAGAATTCATTTAATACGGCTGAAGGATACAGAGATTCTTTTATAGCTTTAAAGATGAAACTTCGGAATAAAATTGGACAATTGAATTCGATGAATGTTACTACAGATATTGCTTCAGTTTCGATTTCGGATCCTAAAGAAAATAAAAACAGGAAGTTCAAACTTCCTAAACTTGAACTGAAAAAATTTTCTGGAGATGCAAGAGAATTTTTAGGCTTTTGGAGCCAATTCTCCAAAATTCATGAAGATGCGGATATTGTGCCGGAAGATAAATTTTTGTACTTAGTGCAAAGTGCAGTACCTGGCTCAAAGGCAGCTCAACTTTTGAACAGTTTTCCTGTTACCGCCGCGAATTATCCTAAAGCTATCGAGCAGCTGAAAGAAAGATTTGGTAGAGAAGACCTTCTGGTGCAGATCTATGTAAGAGATTTGCTTGGGCTTGTTACAAAGAATGCTACAACAGGCAGAACGGCGTCGGACTTAGGAGTACTTTATGATATAGTATAGAAAGTAAATTACGAGCGCTGGAAAGCTTAGGACGCACCAAGGAAAAGTTTGCTGATTTCTTGGGACCTTTAGTGGAGTCGTGTGCCTACCTGAGAATATTCTACGTGCCTGGGAGCGGAGTCGAACTTCTGAACAAGGGACAGGAAAAGAGTTCTGAAAGAACGCTTGAAAAACTAATGTGTTTTTTAAGGCATGAAGTAGAATCGGAAGAAATGATTAGATTAGCACAATCAGGATTTACTCATTCTGTTAAGCGTCTTAATAAAAATGTTATTTCAGGTAATTCAGATTTAGCAACAGCTGCCGCGCTGGTAAGTACAAATGAAACCAGTAAAGGTAAGCAAAATGTTTGTATATTTTGTGGTAAGCCTCATATGAGTGCTAAGTGTTTTAAAGCTGAAAATATGAGCTTAAATGAAAAGAGGCAACTTGTACAAAAGAAAGGTGTTTGTTTTTCATGTTTAAGAATTGGCCATTTAAAAAACCAATGTAAAGCCAATATTAAATGCCCCATTTGCAGTTGTGATCATATAAAATTTATGTGTCCTCAGAATGTTAGTTCTGTTCTGTAAAACAAAATGACTCTAAGTTGGATGTTTCCCTTTCTAATAATAGTAAGAGCGAGAAAGTTTATTTGCAAACTTTATGTGTTCTAATTAAAGTTAAAGATCGAGAGAGAAAAATTAGGATTCTCTTGGATTCGGGATCCCAACGATCATACGTTGGGGGGAGAAAATTATGAAGCGAATGAAGGCTGATCCTATTCGACAGAGAGAAAGTAATTCATGGTTTGTTTGGGGGAGGGAAACTGAGCTCGTAACCCATTCCATTTTTGCTATTGATATAAGCAGTTTAGATAACACATTTAGGTGTTGTTTTGAAGCTTTTTCTGAAAAAAAGATATGTGGATTTCTTCCCACAATTAAGGATGCTCAGATTATAGAGAAATTGAAAAGCAGGAAAATTGAGGTCAGTGACACATTTTGCGAGGAAAGTGAAATTGATTTATTGATAGGCGCAGATGTTATTGGTAAACTGTTAACTGACGAATACCTAGAATTAATTACCCTCTGGTTTACTGCAGTAAAACAGTGGGTTGGACGGTTATGGGTAAAGAAAATGATACTGTTAGGGATAATGCCCTAATAAGTCTTTCCCTACATGTAAATAATGCTTCTTTGGAATCTTTATGGGAGCTTGAAGTTTTGGGTATTTCCGACCCGACGGAAAATAGTAAAACGAAAAATCTTCATTGCGACTATGAGATTGATTTTCAGAATAAATTATCTATTCGGCCCGATGGTAGATATGAATTAGAATTACCCTGGAAATGCGAATCTACCAATTTATCAGATAATAAAAGCATTGCTTTGACACGTCATCAAAAATGATGATAAAGAGGGCAAAAGAAAATAATTCTTTGAAGGAATATCAAGAAGTGTTTAGAGAGTGGGAAAATTTAAATATTATAGAAAAGGTTCCGGAAAAGCAATTAAGGAATTAAACAATAAATGCCACTTTTTACCACACAGACCGGTTATTAAGATGAATAGTGAAAGCACTAAGGTAAGACCCGTTTTTGATGCTTCATCTTGTGAAAAGGGAAAACCATCTTTGAATCAGTGTTTATTGAAAGGACCTAATTTAATAGAATTAGTCCCTGATATTTTAGACAGAATGAGATTTTTTCCTATTGGTCTGAGTGCAGACATAGAGAAAGCATTCTTGCAGTTAGGAATTTCTCCGAAGGATAGAGATTACTTGCGATTTTTCTATCCAAGTGATGAGGGAGAAATAGTGTATAGGCACTGCAGAGTAGTTTTTTTTGGGTTTCCTGCAGCCCTTATCTACTAGGTGCGTCTATTAAATATCTCTTGAATAATTGTCCATCTGACTTTTTAGATGTGGCTGACAAATTAAAAAATTCGTTCTATGTAGATAATTGTATTACGGGTGTTTACAATATTGAGGAACAAGAGGATTTAATTCAAAAGGCCAAAAGTCTTATGTCGAGAGGCAGATTTAATTTAAGGGGATGGGAGAGCAATGTTGCTTCCAAATATACTACAAAACATTCTGGGGACACACCTCTTTTAGGAATATTGTGGAATTTAGACAATGATACTTTAAGGTGTAATATACATCTCCGGGATTGGGGTGGCTATCGATATACATTAGATAGTGATGATTGCAGTGAGTTATCAGTACTTAGTAGGGTACACTTTAT